ATTATTTTTAATATTAATATTAATTGAATATATAATTACAACTAAATTTTAATTTTATGAGATAAAAATTAAAATTGGATTTTACATTATAAACAAAATAAATTATAAAATTAAAATATTTGTATTAAACCATGTTTACCTCATTTAAATTAAAATTATTAATTACTTCTATATTAATAGAGTATATAATAGAATTATTAAATTAATCTTAAAAACAAAGTACTAATTTATACTAATGGTTTTATCTAAATATATATTATGTCTAAAAATCTATTCATATATTTTATATTTAACCTGAAGAGACCAAAACTTGAAGAATAAGTACAAATATTTTTATATTAAACATTTTAATAATTATGATTTTAAAAAGTTTTATTTTTTGACAACTTATAGTTATCGGTAAAAATATAATGTTTATAAATATGCTTTTGTTAACAATTTTTGAGTAAATGATTAAATTTTATTCGTTTCACGTTCAATGTTAAAGAATTTTAAATTTATATTTAATACATGTAATAAATTAATTACAACAATATTATTTGTAGCTATTTGTGGAATTTTACCAATTTTAACATTAGTATTCAATGTTTTATATTTAAAGTCAATTTATTCATTTATTTCTACTCTTTATTATTTAAATAATTTATGTGATATTGCAAATACTTTCCAGTTAGTTTTAATTAAGTTTTGTGTCAAATTTATGTCATTTATTGTAAATACGGAGAGCATAGTGGCTATAAGTCATGTCCATTTTTTTCTATTAAATATATGTCACAAAACCTTCATAAGAAACCGCCAATTATTTGATATTCTTAAACAAGATTAATCAAATTTTGATCAAATATTTATATCAAACAAAATACTCATATCATAATAATCTTCTTTAATATATAGTTAAAGATCTTAATGTATAGTATAAAAATTGATATATTAATATAAATGCTTAATAAACTCGAATTTTGTCTTAAGATTCTTTCAAAATCTTATATTGAAAACTGAAAATAGAATTTATTTTATATGAATTATATTCTTTGGTATAAAACAAATATTAAACAGTTTTCAATATTTTCTCGTGACACTATATATTAACAAGATTAACTAATTAATTAACAAATATTTGATTAAATTATGAATGTACATTATAAAAATATTTTAACATTCTATAGAATAAATTGTTTTGTTTTACAAAATCTAAACTAAAAGTATGCTAGTTCTTTTTGTTAAAATTTTTAATCATTACATACAAGTATAAATATATAGACTTTACAAGGAAAGCCTTTTTAGTAGTGAGTGTAAGGGTTTGTTATAACTTATAAGGATTTGATGGGTCGCATGGAGTGGTCGAAATAAATTAGTAAACCATTTGTAATGCTTTCATGTCGTGACTCAAAGAGAATAACGTCTAATATATGAAAAGTGAGTTTCTGTACATTTGCTTACATTTCTCACAGGAATAACAAACAAAAGGCATTGCGATCAATGATGAGATGCGCTCAACTCTATCCCAAATTGAGTTTACAGTACATCCAGTCATCCAGTCTTCTAATCATTGATGAACACCATTAGAGACGACATGCGCGCACCCGACCATCAAACACATCCACAATCACTGACACTACACTATTGCTCTCAATCTCTCTATTCTGTGCCAATCTCTATGAAAAATCTTATTTCCATTTGTATACCACTTAATAAATTATATCAATTCAATCGCATCTACATTTTTTAATTGACAAATATTTTTACGATAAAATCTTTTTATTGTGCTATTTTGTGCTCGCAGTATACATTTAATAATTAAATTATATTGCATATAATATTAATTTTGAAATTAATAAATAATGCGCCAAAAGCTTAAACTAATAATAAATATATTATTTACACAATAAATATGCCAATAAATAATTGAATGTCTAATTGGTGGCATCTCAGGGCAAAGTTTGGTAAATAATGTGATGAGTGGTGACCAAGATGTGAGTGTATATCTGTGTCATACACTTATCAGACAATCATCTCCCTTAGAGTCAGTACTGACTCGACTCCACACATAAACACAATTCAAGACTTCTTTCTTTGGTTTTTTAGCGAAACTTATTTTCGATACTTTTTTCCTGTGAAATGAGAGAATTGGTTGAATTGGTTGACAGGAAATGAATTTAGAAAATATAAGTAAACAATATTTGATGTGATTTTGATTGCAATGAAAGAAGTGTATAGATATAGATGGAGTGTATGGAGTGGATCAACATCAATATCTACATGTAGTTCCAGTCCATATCCATATTGGCAACAGCTTTCCATAGCTTTCTCTCCATTCAACTCTATACAGTCGATACTATTTTCAAATTATCTCCGTTTGAAGTCTTCACTCTTCTGTCAATCATTTGTTTGACTCAATAGAAGATTATAAAACAATAAGTGATTACTTAATAATGAAAAGTCATTTCACCACATAATGGCAATCGATGTCTATTTAGTTATTTTTATTTCTTTTATATTTCGGTAAGAATTCTTATACTGTATCTATAAATATATGTTTTATTTAATTTAATTAATTGTCACTTCTTATAATTTTTTAAAAATATTTAAATAAGTATAAAAATATTTAAATTTGTAAAGTTAAAATAAACATGGTGACTATTAATCTGTAATGTGATTGACATGGATTTAAAGGGTCTCTTGTGATCTATTGGAGTGGAGACCGGAATCGAGTCGACAATTAGATAATGTGACCGAGATAATTAAAAAGATTTTGGATGGATATGATATACGACTCAGACCTAACTTTGGAGGTAATCAATTAATTTTTTATACCATTTTTATTATAATTATTTAAAATTCTTGAAGAGTTTATAAAGAATTTATTTAAAAAGATATAAAGATATTGATTATTCTCTAAAATAAAGTAATCATTATTTTGTGTTTTATTAACCAAAGAATGAGTTAATGATTGACATAATAAGTGCTCTAGTTTTCAATCGTTTGCCGATGAATTCAATAAATAAACAAAAATCAATAATTGTTTTACCATTATTTTTTTATTTTAAAACATATTATCCCAAAATAATGGTGAAATGTATGAGATATTGCTCTCAATTCATTCAAAAACGTTTATTATAAAACAAAGGTTTAAAATAAATAACAAATATCAGTTAATTATATTTTCATTAATAAATTAAATATTTAGATTGATTTCCTTATTAAGAAATTAAAATAATTTTTAAAAATAAATTTAAATAAACATAAAAAATAGACATTTAATTGTATTTGAATATAAAATACTATATGCATAAATTAAATAAATTGGTACCTATTTAGATAAATTTATTATAAAGTTTAATTATAATTTTAATTTAGAGTAATTTAAATCTAAAATTATACTTATTTAAATTTTTATTTATTAAAAATTGTTTATCATTGATTAACAACATTTATTTATAGATTTATTGATTTACTTCTTGTTTATATATTAATAAAACTTAAATCCTCATAATTATCTTAGCGATAGCTTATTATATGAGTATTTATTACAAAATACTTTCCATTATTTATAGCAAAACAACTTAGACAGATGCAATTTGAGACAATCTTTTATGATTTAGTTTACTTTTTCCATCAGATTATCGTAATCTCACAATAATATTTGAGTTAGCATTTTATTTTTTAAATTACAAACAATTCAATATATTTTTTTAGTTTTATTTATTTTACGTGAGAATACTTATATGAAAATATTTGTCAAATTTCATTAATGAAAATACTATAACATTGTAAGTATTAACAAGAATTTGTTCAAATGATTTGATTGAATATTGAAGGAAATAAAAGACTGAATGTGTTATCAATCAGTTTTCTAATAAAAAGGATTAATTTCATTTAATTGAAAACAGTATTAANCATTGTAAGTATTAACAAGAATTTGTTCAAATGATTTGATTGAATATTGAAGGAAATAAAAGACTGAATGTGTTATCAATCAGTTTTCTAATAAAAAGGATTAATTTCATTTAATTGAAAACAGTATTAATTTAATTAGTTGTTTTATTTGAAAGGGAATCTCGGGTTTTATTATAAAAGAATTTATTTGTTTTGCTTTTTTGTTTGTTTTCAATTTGTTTTATACTGCTAATCACTAAAAGTAGATTCAATTTTCATACATTCAATCAATTTAAATGCATTTAATTTCAGTTTTACGTTAAATAAATACTACAGTAGTACAGTACTTATTCATGTTTACTGTATATAAATTATTTTACAGTATTTATAAATTATACAAAAAATATAATAATAATATTATATTTATACTGTATTATAATTCTATGATATGTATGTAGTACATATGAATATAAACATATCAAAATATATTTTTTTTGTAGTAAAACCCTATTATATTTATAAATATATTGTAAAATATTTTCAATAGTTGATATTTGATGGATAAGTCTTCTACAGTACTGTATAGTATTATAAAATATTGAAAGCTATTTTAAATATTTTATATAAACTTTTATATGTATAAACTTAATATTTATTTCTTATAATTTAAAAATAAATTTGATAAATATTATTTTAACATGGGATGAGTACAATTATTTATATGCATACCTAGACTCAATACATAGATACACAAAAACATAAAGTTATCGTATTAGTCTACTATTATAAGTGAATTCTTATATAATTTCATATGATTTTCTTAAGTATGGGTCGACTCACAAAAATGCATTGAAGCATAAAAAATAGAGAATATGTGTTCGTATGTGAGTGTTGTGTATGAATGCGTGTATTAGAGTATAGGTCCTCTTTGATAGTGTCAGCAATACTATTGAATCGGTAGCCTTTGTTAACCATTGAATCGATCAATACTTTAGCAAACTTTATGTGTGCTCTTCGCGAAATGGCTTAATCCCAGGGCTTGGCTCACATCGCATATAATTCAATGAATTGTATACACAAAACAATTTTAGATATTTTGTTTTTATTACCTATAATTTTATATGAGTTGTTTTGCTTCCAGAATAATCATTATTTTTATTGTCATTTCAATGTAGGAATATAAGGTGCAATACGATTCTGTATTTGACTTTTATCATAATTAGTTTATCATTTTAATGAGACGTCAATTGCTTGTTATGAATATTTTTGAAACTAAACAAGGATTGTTTGTTTTAATTAAAATGCAATTAATACAATAACAGATTTATGTTAAGGGTTACATTATTTATAACATTATAATATAGCATTTGTGATGACATGTATTGATGCATTGAATGCAATACAAACACAATTTGTTGCAAACAATATAATCTGTATATTAAGAACTGAAACACAAATCTCTTCTTTATTTGTACGACAAATTTGATTCTTCCGGTCATTTGACTCATAAATTGGATATTGAATGCAATACAAACACAATTTGTTGCAAACAATATAATCTGTATATTAAGAACTGAAACACAAATCTCTTCTTTATTTGTACGACAAATTTGATTCTTCCGGTCATTTGACTCATAAATTGGAGATATAAAGCATTTTATTAATATTGTATTTCCTTTCATCCATATAATAATAATATTGCAGTATTATATTGCCTTACATTTGACAGTAGCTATCGTTTTTAATTAAAAAGTTCACAAAAATCACCACAAATTATTTAACTTATTAATATATTTATTATGTTTTAAGCATGGCACAGATTTCTTATATTTATTTTATTTATTTGTTTAAAATTAATTAATTTAAATATGCAATTGTAAATTGGAGTAAATTCTAAAATACAAATTAAATTTATAATTGTGATCCCTTTCCTATGGATGCTAAAACTGAATGCCATTTTAAAGATTTAATTAAAAAGTGTACACTTTGAACAGTAATGAAATAAGTTGTTGTTATTGTGAACCATCAAAAATATAGTGTTTGTGTTGTATTAATAAAGAATTTGACAATTTAATTCAATTCTCTCTCTATTATTGCGGATCATTTCAGTCTTCACTCTTTTTTGTGTCATATTCTGATTGTAAGCATATCTGAAAGTCTGAGCTCTAAGTTATATAAGAGATGTGCCTTTCATTGGTCTGATCATCAAATAGTAAAGAATCACTGAATCAGTGCTTTAATTCTGAAGGCCTGTTGGCTTTGATGGCTGAACACAAAGTACTTGAGGCGCTCAATAATTGTTCACCAAAACTGCTTTACAAAACTTTAATGTCTTTATAAGATCAGTGAATAACACGTCAATCCATTTCTTATTTCTAAAACTAACTGTGATTTTCTGTATAATTGATTTGACCAAATAATTAATTCTTTAATAGATTAATACTTGCATATAATTAAACAATTTGATTTATATTTCATATATTCTACTAAGCATGTTTTATAATAGATCTTAAGTTAATATTAATAAAATGATTATATTTTGCACTTTATATAACAGGGCGTCCGCTTGAAGTAGGAATGGATTTGTCGATCGCCAGCTTTGATAGTATATCCGAAGTCAATATGGTTTGTCATTTATTTAAAATATATGTCATAATTAAATAAGTATAAATGAGATTTACTGATAAGCTGATAAATCAATTATAATATAATATAATTATTATATGATATGATAAAATGAAATGAAATATTATATTTAATTTTCTAACAGCTTATTAACAAATGATTAATTTATGAAAATTCTCATACAAAAATCAAAGCATAAATAGGAAAATAATTATATACAAAATTTTGTTTCCCAGTAATGATAAATTCAAGTGCTCTCTACAACATAAGCCTTTTATTTATAGTTTTCTAATCATAAGTTATGCAATATTTTCGTCTGTATTTTTCATTGTTATTTTAATATTAATAATAGCCAACAGTACTGTATCATGTTGATAGAAATCGGAATATCATTTGTTTTGTTTATTGTTATCTTTCAAAAACATAATTAGTAATTCAAATCAATGATGTTTACTACAATCTACTAAAATAATGTGAAATTAAACCATTTATTGTAAAGCAAAATATTTTACTATATTGTTCACAACATTGCGAAATATTAAAAATAATCTTTTGACAATATTACTAAATAATACTAAATAATAGTAAAATGTAATAAACGAGTGCTAATTAGAAAGCGCGTGTGATATCTACTAATCTGAAGTTTAATTGAATTCATTCATTGCAATCAATGCAAGCAATTCTTAGCACTAGAATTGGTAAACAGAATCCAAATGCAATGAATTCTTAAGACTTAGTATATAATCGTAAGATATGATAATTCTAGGCAATCAATACCATTATATGCGCTCAAATCACATCTTAAGTGTGAAACTCACTGATGAATAGTTATTAAAACACGGTTTTCAAGCATTTTATTAATATTGAAAATTTATAACAAAAAAATAGGTTAAAAGAGTTTCTTTACTTTAGAAAATCAATACATTTCTGAAGCTAAAGGGCCTTTGAATTGTGGTTTAAATAAAAATATAAAAATGTATTTTATTTATGAATGAAGGTATAGATGTCATATCGTTAATTAATTGGCAAAAATAGTCACTAATATAAAATTTTATTTATATTCATTGAGTATATCTCTATATTAATAAGTTTTTAAAAGCATTTTATAAGAGAATTAATTTTGAGAAATAATTTTACACATGTGTGGGCACAGAGAGACTGGTTATCGTTTTATTTCATATAACAGGGATTAAACAAAAGTCTAAAACAATGTGTTTTCAGATAATCTTTTTATTTGAGTATAATATTGAAAACATAAAAAAAATCTTTCATTTCTAAGACTAATCTGCTTTATGTTTAGTATTACAAAGAGATTGTGTTAAATACATCTGAAATGTAGGACAATAAGCAAGAATTGAGTGAATATTCTTAAGTAATGGCATTCTTTTCATTGAATAAAAAAATGCAAGAATAGTGAAAGAATGTTAACAAATATTTAAAATATTATGTAATATGTAAATTATATGCAATGTATACAAACATTTCGTTTTGAGAATATTATGCATTATATATACTATACTTCGGGTACATTATAAAGTATATATTCTAATGCCCTAAAGAAGTGTATGTCTGACTGTAACGCTTGACTTAAATAAATAAATTGATTATTTTTCTTTTTGAGAATATTATGCATTATATATACTATACTTCGGGTACATTATAAAGTATATATTCTAATGCCCTAAAGAAGTGTATGTCTGACTGTAACGCTTGACTTAAATAAATAAATTGATTATTTTTCACTCTAACGAATCTCTTAAAAATTGTTTCCAATAACAAGAATAAATTTGTTTGTTATTGAATGCCTTTACAGTGTATAATATAAATACATTGAAATTTAAACTAGGGCTACAAAAAACGACAATTTTATTCCCGATTTGTGGTTTGTAGATACGATCCCAATGTCTGACTAATAATTTTAAATTATACATTTTAATACTTTGTATTTATCTTTAAGTTATAATTAATTAGAAAAATATTATTCAATTTGATTTATGTATATAATTTATTTATTAATTCATTTCGCTAAATATTTAAATATTCAATATTAAATTCACTATAGAATTATAATAATATATTAATAAATAAATATGAATTATACATTTTAAAAAATTTATTAAATTTATTATTGAAATTAAAAATAGTTGCCCAAATATTTGCCCAAAATATTTAGTCATTATTCCCATTCCTTCCCTTTTCAAAATCAAAACATTTTTTGAGGTTTGAATTTTGAAACCAGAGATTTGGTGAAAATATATTACAAATTAGATTAGTATTGATATACTAGTAATATTGAATCACAATTTCAAGTACTGGTCACAACTGATGTCTATATTTTATATCGAAAAAATATTTCCTTATAACTATTACTCAGCAAATAAAAAAATCAATAATTTCCAAAAATGTACCTTAACACATCTCATAAATATAGTACTAAAAGTATAATAAAAATTCATTTGTTATACAGAATTTCAAAACAGAAATAAGATTTAAAAAATTTAATTATAGATTTAAGTTAATATTGCATATAATTTAGTAATTTGATGATTAATAATATAATTGTGGTGTAATTACGCACTCCTATAGGACTATACGATAACCTTATATCTGAATCAGTATTGGAGGGACGAGAGGCTGTCCTTTAGTGAGAACAACTACGAGCTGACCCTATCGGGCGATTTCGCAGAGCGCATATGGGTTCCGGACACGTTGTGAGTGACATGCCATCCATGTCTTCAATAACTTCTATTTACTTAACACATAATAATTTGTTTAAACATTTTACTCGCAATTCATGAAATATACTGTACATGTTTGTTTTGAAGTTTGTTTTTATTGTATAGAATCGAATTCAATTCTATGGAATTTGCTTTTATTAACGGTTTAGGAAATTACAAAAACTTTTTCAATTTTTTATGCCTTCAATTTAGCTGTAAATGACTTCATTAGGGAATTGAAATATTCCGAGAATTCATTCAATTACCTGAATTCATTTTAAATTCTATAAAAACATAGGTTTATTTAAAGTAATATATTATACATAACTACTTAAGACATACAAGCTATCTATTTGAATTAAATTAATAATAAGAAAATAAATAAATAATCAATAAATTTAGTCAGCGTTTAGAATATTAACAATTATACAAATGATTGTGTTTACAAAAATAAAGTTTAACAAAACATTAAAAAATAAATTTCAAAAACAATCTCAAGCTTTGCAAACGACAAGAACTCATTCCTACACGAAGTGACTGAGAAGAACAAAATGGTTCGGCTTAAGTCTGACGGGTATATCGCTTATGGCATGAGGTACAGTTCCCCTCTATGCACCAAAAAATCATTTGCATATTGATATGCACTCAAATCGATTACTTGAAGTAATTTTGTTTTGAATTCATGAATAAAAAAGGTTCACAACAACGTTGGCCTGTATGATGGATCTCCATTATTACCCCTTAGACTCACAGAACTGTACGGTTGAGATCGAGAGCTGTGAGTTTGGACTCATTTTTATTATAATTATTTTATTCATTCCTCTGTTTTATAGCGGAATATAAATGTAATATAAATGTAATATAAATGTAATATAAATGTAATATAAATATCATTCAAATTTAATTATCGCTTTTCCTTTTTCTTATAAGACTTTGCAAATGAATTCTTTATTTAGAAATACAGTTAACAGCTATACTGTAGTCATTAGAGTGTAATAGAAAACCATTAATTATATGATAAATAATGCAAACAATGAGTATAA